CCCCAGTCCTAGAAGGGACTGCCCCATGACTTGTTCATAAGGAATCTTTCCTTGACTGGGGACTAGGGGCTCATATCAAGCAAGCTCAGGGACAGGGTAAGGCCAGTTCCTTCCTCGCTCCAGTGCCTTTCCTTCCAGAACTGCCTTCTGCTCCAGCCCCTGTGTGAGAAGTCTACAGGAATCCCTCCTACACATATCCAGGCTCTCCCTGGGGCTCCCCAGCAGGGGTGGGCAGGTCCCCACAACACCCACAGACCTGCAAGGTTGCCAACTTACCTTTGGGGAAAGAGCACTGGGCGTGGAGTCTCAAGGCCTATCTGTGGGCTCCACTCACTACGCGACCACAGCCCAACTTCACCTCTCTGGCTCAGGCTCGCCCAACCTAACATGGGGCTCACAGCACCTAGGTCAGAGTCCCTGAGAGCATCAGAGGAGGTAGCTCAGCTGGGGCAATTGTCAGCTCTTTTTGCCTACCACTCTCCTGCCACCCCGCCTCCAAACGCGGGCACTCTCTCCTGCAGCCATCCGCCATCTCCTCTCCGGGCCCTCCAACATCCACCCCTCCAGTCCTGCCCAGAGACCCAAGCCCCAGACCCTTATTTCCAGCTCTACCGGGTGTCCGCTTGGAGACGCCACTAGAGGCGCCACCTTGACTGGCCCTGAATTCAGCCCCGCCGTCCCCAGCACCCCCTCCCCACCACCCTCCCCCAAGCCTGCCAATGCCGTCCACCCGAACCAGAAACCCCGCTGCCTGCCTGGGGTCCTCCTCACCCTCGCATCCAGCCCACTGAGGTCCTCCTTCAACTCCCCCTTCCTCGCCTCCAGGACACTGTCCTAGTTCAAGCCATCGTCATCTCTCACCTAGACCGCTGCGGAAACCCTCCTACTCATCTCCCTGCTGCCAGTCTCACCCTCTCTGGTCCATCTCTGCACAGCAGCTAGAGTGATCTCTCTGAACTGCTGAGCTACGTTCTTCCCTTGCCTGAAGCTCTCTGAATGCTCCCCACAGGACATTCAGCCTCCTGAGCCCCCACAGTCTGGCCCCTGCCCCTCGCTCTCCCCTCTCTCTCTAATGGAACTCCCTTACTGAGACTGGCATTCCTTCTGCTATTTGCCTTTTGCTCATGCTGCCCTGAACCTGAGACCCTCCTCATGCCCACCTTCCACACCAGGGGAAATCTTGCTCTCAGGCTCGGCATGGCTGTCACCCCTCCAGGGAATTTTCATCACTTGAATCACCTCCAGCGCTGGTGCTGCTGCCCTGCTCTCAGCTCCCAGAATGCCCTGGGAACATCACTGTCACACTCTGACCGCATTTGGTTGTCCCTGGATGCTTCTCTCTTGCCCAGGAGCTTGTGGGCTCCCTGAGGGCTGAGGCCACACCTGTCCTGTTCCCAGCCAGGTCAGGCACATGGCGTTGGCAGGTGGTGCTTTGTGCACAAGCACACAGGTGAGGGAGCAAGAAGGGGTCCCAAAACAGCTCACATCTCACTCATGGAGCTGCACCCACCTGAAGGAAGAATGCTCTTTTCTAATTTGCACAAAGGCGACTTGTGGGCCAGAGGCAGCTCTGCTCGCTGCTGGCGTCCTGTCCTGGGAACAATGCCCGCCTGTGCACAGTAGGCCTGGCACAGGGTAGGCACGCCACTATTGTTACATGTATTAAATAAATGGAATGTTCCAGCATCTCCACTGGGAGGTCTCCAGCCTCCCTCTTCCCCCACCCTCTTCCAGATCTCTCTCTGAGGCTTGCTGCAATTTGTGGCAGGAGGAGATCATGGGGCAGCTGCCCTTGCCCCTGCCTGTGCCCTCACCCATGCCCTTGCCCTCATCCTCGCACTTACCCACGGTACTAAACACTGTGCAGCAGAAGAAGAGCGAGCTCAGGAAGGTCCAGTCTGCAGATGTGTTAAACCAGTCGGGCTTCACCTTCTGCAGATGGTCCTGGAGGTCCTGTTCCCTGCCTTCCACATCTTGAGAAAGACACAATCAAGAGTGAGGAATAGGTTCTGCTCTTCAAGACAGGTCCTGCCCAGGTGACAGGGGTGAAGTCGTCCCCCAAGACCAGTGGCCCCTGCCCTGTGCTTCCGAACAACACCAAAGCTTGGCACTCAGAGCCCTCCTAAAATGCTTCTGCAGCTCGGGTGCCACCTCTAGGGGCCCACAGGAAGATTAGGAGCCCACATAGCCTCGTGAGAAGAGCACCTAACAGAAAGGTCCACAGGGATCAGGTCTGAGCTCAGCCCCAGAATCGCTATGCCATCTGAGGGGGCTTTCTTAATGTTCTGAACCTCCATTTCTTTCACCTTTTGAGGGGGGGATAACTTCTGTTCTGCCTTTCTCACAGGGTTCTTTAGAACCAAAAGCAAAAGGCGTTTAGGAAGATCATGCTGGTACCATACCCCTGGCGGTCACTAAGCCTGATGGGGTTTGGTGATCATACTGTGATCTTTGGGTACCAGCTTTCTGAGAGTGTCTCCTCCTAGGCTGGGAAAACTTGGCTTCCAGAACATTGGCCCCAAGGCTAACAGAGCAGGGCTGAAAATCCTGGTTCTCAGAGAGGTTCCCGAATGGTTCTATCAGCCTGGGCTGTCAGTGGGCTTTGGGACCCCAGGAGCTGCCTGGAACTGTCTAAAGAGGATGGCACTGAACCTGGCACACAGCAGGAAGTCACTGCTCATTTGAATGGTCCCTAGCCTGGGAGTCCAGACACCTGAATTCTAGACCTGGCTCTAACCCTGACAAGCTTCTTTCTGAGCCTCAGTTTCCCTCAGGGAGATGGTATGACATGATGGTGAGAGGCTCAAGCTCTGGAGTCCAAATACCTTGGGTTGAAGCCTTGGCTCCACATTTCTAATTTGTGAACTTGGGCAAATTGCTTAACCTCCCAATGCCTCAGTTTCCTAATCTACAAAAGGGAGGCAAATTAGGTTTATCATGAAGATTAAGTGAGAAGAGTGTGTAAAAAAGGTTTGGCACAAGGTCTATACTTAACTAGACCTTATTGAGCTTTTTAAACTCCAGTGAAAATTGGTACAAAATGGAGCTCTGTGTTCCCATGCCCTGTTGTGCATTGGAATCCCCTGGGAACTTTAAAATGCAGATTCCCAGCTCAGTCCTGGACATCCTGACTCAGTGCATTTAGGGAAGAGCCTGGGAATGCATATTTTTTTTAAGCAAGCTTTCTGAGTGGTTCTGATGTGTGATCTGGTCTGGAGAACCTTGAACTTGCTGGCAGTCTAGATCTTGTGATGGCTCAAAGGGTCCGATTGGCAGCAATGGCAACTCCTAGGTCCACTGAGAAGACCTGTGTCCGTCTGGCAAGGGTGCAGGGAGTGCTTTCTGCAGGGTCCTTCATGGAGGAGAGACTGCCTCCCTTGACCAGCCTCTAGTCTTTGGAAGCCCGATCTGCTCCCCGGAGCAAGGTTTGGCCTGTAGGGGGAGCTGAGAGCAGGCCGGCTGAGGAAACTCCCATACCCAGGGAGGGAGGGGAGGAGCTTCTCCCGCACCCTGTTCTGCCCCTGACTTTTTTTTTTGAGTTGGAGTCTCACTCTGTCACCCAGACTGGAGTGCAGTAGCCACTCCCGGCCTCCGCAGCCTTGACCTGCTGGGCTCCGGTGATCCTTCCGCCTCAGCCTTCCAAGTAGCCGGAATTACAGGCATGCGCTACCACGCCCAGCTGATTTTTTTTATTTATTGTAGAGATGAGGTCTCACTGCCCAGGCGGGTCTCGAATCCGTGGGCTCAGGCGATCCACTCACCTCAGCCTCCTAAAGGTGTGGGATTACAGGCTGAGCCACCGAGCCCAGCTGCCCCTGACTTTTAGAGTCTGGATTTCCTTTGTCTTTTATTTATTTACTCACTTGTTTTATCTTGCTCCATTAAATACATCTTTGTACGCCTCCTTTGGGGAACAGAGCAGAGTAGAAACAAGTGATTTGGCCAAGTAGAGTGGCTTATACCTAAATCACAGCACTTTGGGAGGCTAAGGCAGGAGGACTGCTTGAGCCCTAGAGTTCAAGACCAGTCTGAGCAACATAGTGAGACTCATCTCTACAAAAAAATTTAAAAACTATAACTGGTTGTGCTGGCATGTACATGTAGTTCCAACTACTTGGAAGGCTGAGGCGGAAGGATCGCCTGAACCTAGCAGGTCGAGGCTGAGATGGCCATGAGCATGCCACTGCACTCTAGCCTGAGTAACAGATTGAGACTCCGACTCAAAAAAAAAAAAAAAATTAAAAATTATCTGGGTGTGGTGATGCACAACTGCATTTCTAGCTACTTGGGAGACTCAGCTGGAAGGATCACCTGAGCCCAAGAGATCAAGGCTGTGAAAAGTCATAATTGTGCCACTGCCCTCCAGCCTGGGCAACACAGTGAAACCAAGACTTTAAAAAAAAGTGACTAAATACAAATAAAGTGCAATAAGGACACATATAAAGTGCCTCTATCTTCCAAGAAGCTGCATGTCCCTTGTCTTCTCTGCTTCCCACAGCATCCCTGTGACTGGCTGGCTGAGATTTGGAATCTGCTTCTCTTTGGCACACTGAGACCCAGAGAGGCAAGGGCTTTGCCTCCACTTGATCACACCACAAGCTGAGAGGACAGCTGGGACCAGAGCCAAGCCCCCAGATTCTTCCCACAGCACCTCCCTCCCCTGTATAGACAAGGCTTTAAAACAAGAAGTGCCGGGCTCGGTGGCTCAGCCTGTAATCCCACGCCTTTGGGAGGTGGAGGTGAGTGGATCGCCTGAGCCCGCGGGTTCGAGACCCGCCTGGGCAGCGAGACCTCATCTCTACAATAAATCAAAGAATCAGCTGGGCGTGGTAGCACATGCCTATAATTCCGGCTCCTTGGAAGGCTGAGGTGGAAGGATCGCCGGAGACCAGCAGGTCGAGGCTGCGGAGGCCGGGAGCGGCCACTGCACTCCAGTCTGGGCGAGAGAGTGAGTGAGACTCCAACTCAAAAAAAAAAAAAAAAAGAAAAGAAACAGGAAGTGGGGGAGTAGGGGTCAGTAGCTTATCCTGGGGAATCCAGCCCAATTTGGATTGTTCCTTGAATTCTGGTCCCTGCAGGCTGGATCCGGGTTTGGGAGGATACCGTTCCTAGGAGCAGCCTAGGAACACCCAGTCCCAGATTTGCTCACCCATCCACCCCACCCAATCCCCAGTAATCCATCCTCCCGGAGCCTGCTAGTCTGGGTAGGGCTGGGAATTCAGGCCAAGAAAAGAGAACTCGTCTTTACAGAGCACCTACTGGGTGCTTGGTGCTTTTCTTGCATTCTCCACAGCAATCCTGAGGGGTGGCCAGTCTCCCCAATTTCCAGAGAGGAAAACTGAGGCTCAGAGAGAAGTTGCTTGCCTGAGTCATCCAAAAAGGGGGAGGCTACAGGCAGGCATCTCCCAGTCTCCCTCAAGGCAGCTCTCTGCACTCTGGGGGCTGCTTCCAGCACAGAGAAAAGGCCTGCCCAGTCCAGGAGAGGCACCTACCTGTTATGTTGCATTCCAAGATGATGCAGAGCTTTTCCAAGAACACCTTAAACTCTCTTTCTTCTTTGGCCCCCGGGACCCGGCTGCCCTCAATGGCAGAGAAGAGCACAGCACCCACCAGCGCATAGGTCACCAGAGAGCAGAGGAAGCAGAGGCCAGGGAGGAGCTTTCCCATGGCCCCTGGGCAGTACCTTCTGGCCTGGGGAGCTCCCAAGGCCTCCATCCTCCCTGGAGCATGCAGGACAGGAGGAGCTGGTGGAAGTGGCAAGAGCATTCAGGCCCTGCCAGGAAGAGGGGGTGGGAGTGCCCAGAGAATGGCCGGGCTCCAGCGCTAAGTGGATAGTGTGTGCACTTCCCCCAAGGACTCTGGAAGCAGCGGCTACTCACCCCATTCAGCTCATCTGAACTACTCCATCGGCACCCTCTCTAGCACCCCAAATTGCTGTTGATCCACCGGGCCAGTCCTGGAGTTACCTGGAGGGGACTTTGGGAGGAATGCTTTGTGCCTTGTTTGGCCTTTCCCATTCTGAAACTGCAGTTTTGACTTCCAGATGCTAAACCTGCTTTTTGGTTTTTAGTCAAGTGATTGTCATTCTTGAGGATTGTTTGTGACACCTCTTGGCCTAGAGTACCTGATCTTCTAGACAGGCAGTAATAATACTAACTAGTATAGCTCTAGAGCTTCACAGTTTCCAAAGGGCCTTTATCCTGTGTGGATATTATTATTATTATTATTATTATTATTATTTTGAATCAGGGTCTCACTCTGTCACCTAGGCTGGAGTGCAGTGACACAATCACAGCTCACCAAAGCCTCCACCTCCTGGGGTTGGGCAATACTTTTGCCCCAGCCCCCTGAGTAGCTGGGACTGCAGGCGTGTACCACCATGGCAGGCTCATATTTTTTAAAAAATCTTTTGTAGAGATGAGGCCTCGTAATGTTGCTCAGGCTGGTCTCAAACTCCTGGGCTCAAGCAATCCTCCCAGTTCAGCCTCCCAAAGTGCCAGGATTTACAGGCATGAGCCACCACGACTGACTGGTTCTAATGATTGGTGCCCGTCTTTCACTCCCTTGTAGCATACCCACCCTTGAGGTGGCCTCACTATGGGTGGAGTACACTTCCTTGAACTTGCTGTGGGGAGGTCACCTGACTTGCTCCAGCCAATCGGGTATTAGCAGATGGGATGCAAGGGGGTGGGGACTTTCTCAGTTGTGCCTTTCTCTGCCATGAACAAAAAGTGCTCCAGATGACAGATGTGGAGATGCATGCGTGTTCAGACCCCCTTCAGGAAAGGCCTCATGGTACAGCTTTGAGGAGCATTGTTTGTGACAGCTTCCAGTGTGTTCTCTGAGGGCTTGTTGCTGCATTCGAGTCCTCCTCTCGAGGAAGCCCCGTCCAGTGACTAAGAAAGGCAGGGGTACAAGAGCCTGCCCTCTCTGCCCAATGCAGGACTCCTCCAAGCTTCGTCTTGGCTCCAGGGCTCCCCATCGGCCTGCAGAGCCTGTCAGCTCTGCTTTGTGATCTGAAAGCTTTCCCACCCCCTCTGCATCCTCCCGTTTCCTTTCACAGACCCTATTTCGCAATACAGCTTCTGAACTCCTGATTCAAGCTCAGCATCTGCTTCCCAGAGGACCCAACTATAGCTGGCCTGAGAAAGCCAGCTCTAAGATGGGGTTTTAGGACTGAGTCCCTCACCACCTATGTGATAAGTCAATGGTGTGCCGATAGCCCTTGGCAGAAGACAGCGACCCAACTTTTCACCAGTGGTGAGCTGGGAGGGCTGTGTGACTAGTGCAGTGATTTGAAACTTATTGGAGGGATAATGAATACAAGGATAATGCATTTGGGGAGGGTTTTTACAAAGTTGCACTGATCCCTTGAAGGTGAATTTAGAAGAGGGGGATTAATAGAGAAAGTCCAGCCCCTGCTCCTCATTGGTCTCAGGGCTGCAACCCATACTTATCGCCTCCTCCTTTCACTAACCACTACACTACCTTTCCTTGACCTCTGCTACCTCTTCCACCTTTTACCTCTTCCACCCATCTCATTGGCTTACCCAACGGCATGACCTAAGTCCTCATTCCTGGGGGTCCTGAGCCCTCGGTAACCATATTCTCTTCTGCTTGGAGTTGCTTATGCTTGTCCATTCACAGACATAGTTGGGTAAGAAGTGCCAAGAGGTACCCAGCGAATCAGCTGAGTTCTGCCCATTTCACTCTCTGCCCTCATTGTATGAAAGCAGCCCTACCTCCCGCTGACCAGGCTACTACTTGAGTCTGGGCTACTACTAACCTAGTTCCAGCTACTCGGGAGGCTGAGGTGGGAGGATTGCTTGAGCCCAGAAGTTCGAGGTTACAGTGAGCTGTGATCGCACCACTGCACTCCAGTCTGAGTGACAGAATGAGGTGCTGTCTCAAACCTTAAAATAAATAATGAAGTCAGGACCATGAAGTTCTGCCATTCCTTCCCACTACAAAAGTCTCCTCTTAGGTAACCTGACTTTCTTTGTTTTTAGGAGGGAGGAATTTTCAAACAGTCCCAGAGATTAGCCAATCCCTTTTCCTAGGGAGGGAGATGGATTAGGTAGAGGACTGCCTCTTCTTGAAGCCTAAATCCCTCTACTACAGAGATATCGGTCAATCAGCTGACAAACACTTCCGGGGTCTGCTGGGGACCAGATGATATGAACATGGTAAAGGACCCCCATTGTCCCATGGAAGGAAAGGATGTAGATACATGCGTTCGCACACTTAAATATAGTGAGGGATGACTCACAAAGTGAGAAGCAAGCTCTCTGTGCCTTGTGGAATCAGAAGAAAGAGAAATGCTGGTGCAGCCTAGGCAGGGCTCACGAGCTGAGGAACTCACAGGATGGCAAAGAGAAGCACCAGACAGTGGACCAGGGACAGCTGAGAGTGGACCACTGGTAACAGGGCTCCTGAAGGGCAAACTTCCTAGTTTCTAAGGGTGGAAATAATAGCAGGTACCCCCCCATACACACACACATGCAATGAGTGGCTTTTTGTAGAACACACAGGTGCACAAGGTGCAGGCAAGACAAAATTCAGCTTTAAGGTCCCCTCCTGCAGCCTCAGATCCAATGAGAAACCTCACTCCGGGGAGATACGGTATATGCAGACAGTGGAGAAAGGGGGTAATGGTATTGCTGCAGCCAAAGACGAATCTTTCTAAACCAGGATTGAGGGAGAGCTATGGTTTGAACGTATGTGTCTCTCCAAAATCAGACGTTGAAATCTGAGACCTGATATGATCATATTAAGAGACAGGGCCTTTGGAGGTGATTAAGTCATGGGGGTAGGATTAGCCCTTATAAAAGGGCTGGAGGGAACTAGCGAAGCACTTTTTAGCCCTCCACCTTCTGCCATGTGAGTATGCTGCCATGAGAGTGCGCCATCGATGGAATAGGCCCTCCCTGGCCTCTAAGTCTGCCTGAGCCTTGAACTTGAACTCCCAGCCTCCATTCTTTATAAATTACCCAGTCTGTGGCTTTTTTTATGTTAACACAAATGGACTAAGACAGGAAGGAAGAGCACAGTCGTGGCAGACCCCCCCCCCACAGGTGCAGCAGCAGCAGCAGCAGCACCGACCAATGTGAGTTCTCAAGCCACAGGCTGCCCTGAAGAGACACGGCCACCATGTTCAATCTCTCTCTTTTTCTCGCTCCTTTTCTCTCTCTGACAGGCATTCAAGGGATGGGCTACTCAGTCACAAAGTACCCATCAATTCTTTAGAAAATAATGAGAAGACAATTACACTCCTACATTAGCATGGCATTGGTACATAAAATCAAATTGCTGTGTTACAATCCAGTTGTACAGCCAACTTTATATTTTTGGCCTACAGGTGTAATCCCTTGGGAGGAGAGTGTGGGAACTGAAACAGCCTGTCATCCCGCGCCTTTGGGAGGCTGAGGTGAGTGAATTGCCTGAATCCGCGGGTTCGAGACCCGACTGGGCAGTGAGACCTCATTTCTACAATAAATCAAAAAATCAGCCGGGCGTGGTAGCGCA